AGGGTTCCTCTTTCCCCACAGCCCTGCCAGCATTTGTTATTGGTTGATTTCATGATAGCAGCCATTCTTTCTGGGAGTGAGGTGGAATCTCAGCATTGTTTTCATTTGCATCTCTCGAATGACCAGCGATGTTGAACATTTTTTCGTGTTTATTTGCTATTTTCTTCTTTATCTGAGAAATGTCTGTTCATTTCAGATGCCCATTTTTGGATGGGGTCTTTAAATTTGGGAGGTCTGATTTTTTAAAGTTCTTTATAGATTCGAGATAGTAGACCTTTGTCTGAGGGACAGCTGGTGAAAATTTTTTCCCATATTGTGGGTTGTCTCTTCACACTGTTGGTGGTTTCTCTTGCTATACAGGAGCTTTTTAATAAGAAGAGATCCCACGTGTTGATTGTGCTAGTTCATGGGCAACTGAGGTTTTGTTCATAAAATCTTTTCCTACACCAATGTCTTCAAGAGCTGTACCTAACCTCTGTTCCAGCTGGTTCAGTGTTCCTATTTTAATATTTAAATCTTTAATCCATTTCAATTTTAGTTTAGTGCATGGTGAGAGATATAGGTTTAGTTTTAGTCTTTGGCAAGTTGAAACCCAATTTTTCCAGCACCATTTATTAAAGAGGCTATCTTTCCTTCAGTGAAAGTGTTTGGCTCCTTTGCCAAAGATGAGGTGGCAGAGTGTGTCTGGAGTTGTTTCTGCATCTTCTAATCTGTTCCATTGGTCCTCAGATCTGTTTCTTTGCCAGTGCCATGCTGTTTTTATCACACTAGCTTTGTAGTATAGTTTCAAGTTGGGGATCGTGATACCCCCTGCCATGTCTCTGTTGGCTAGAGTTGCTTTTGCTATTCTGGGTCTCTTCTTCTTGTTCCAAATGAATTTTTGAATTGTTTTCTCAAGGTCTTTGAAGTATGCCACTGGGATTTCAATTGGGATTGCACTGAATCTATATAGCAGTTTTGGAAGAATGACCATTTTCACTATGTTAATTCTTCCTAACCAGAAGCAAGGGTTGTCTTTCCATTTTCTGATATCATCTTCAATCTCTCTTTTCAGAGTGCTATAGTTTTCTGAAAAGAGGTCTCTGATTTCTTTTGTTAGGTTGAGTCCCAGGTATTTCAGTTTTTTGGATGCTATTGTGAAAGGAATTGTTTGCCCTATTTCTGTCTCAGTGTCTGTTGTTCGTGTAGAGGAAAGCTATTGATTTTTGTGTGTTGACCTTGTATCCAG